CAAAAATACATTGTATGGGTCAAAATTATTGATTTTTCTTTTATGCCAAAAATCATTAGGATATTAAGTAAAGATCATGTTCCATGAAGATATTTTGTAAATTTCCTACCGTAAATATATCAAAACTTCAGTTTTGATTAGTAATATGTATTGCTAAGTGGACAACTTTGACAACTTTGTGGTTTTGTGGTCCAGGGTCACACATAGTATGAATGTGGGTAGTTTGAATGATTCTCGCTATTCTCGCTGGAAGTAGTAGGTCATCCGGGGGCTACTGTTTTTCAAATGCTGTGAATTTATACATTTGTAAGCAGGCGTATCGGGACGCAGTGACTTTACGGTAGTATACCGTTTTTGGAAGTAAAAAAGAACGTATAATTTACAGTAAATAACCGTAAATTGACATTCCCAGAATTCCCTGCGTTACATTTCACATTTGCAAACAATAAACTGCAGAGTTGTACGTGTGCAGGTCCGGCTGCGGTTCTGGCGTATCTGCGAGCGGAGCTGCGAGGAGCAGAGCCCTGCAGACTGCTGAAGCTGATGGTGGTGGGTCCTCCGCGGCAGGGGAAGAGCGCTCTGCTGGAGGGGCTGCAGACCGGCAAACCCTCATCCTTCATCAGCACCGACCGCAGCATCCACACGTCCAGCTGGGATCTGGAGCGACCCGGAGGAGTGAAATCTGCTGTAAGAGCCCTCAGTCCACACACACACACACACACACACACACACACACACAGACAGACACACAGATACATTCCATAGGCGTAATGGTTTTTCTACTGTACAAACTGTATTTTCTGTAGATTATTCTGTTTGAATTATAAACTGTTTTCCTCATGGGCACCAAAGACAATCTCCTCGCAAGGTCAAAAAATACCTTTATTACTATCCTTGTGGGGACATTTTGTCCCCATTTCTGTGAATTGTGGGGACTTTCCATAGACTTCTATTACTTTTATTTTGACCAAACAATATTTTCTATCCCCTAACCCTAAACCTACCCCTTACAGAAAACCTGTTTCCATTGTTACACTTTCAGATAAACATCATTTACTATTTTTAATAATTTTTTTCCCTCGTTGGGACCGCAGGCCGGTCCCCACAATGTCAAAAATCTCAGGTTTTACTATCCTTGTGGAGACATTTGAGCCCCACAATGTAGCATAAACAAGTACACACACACAAACACACACACACACACACACTCATATCAGGATTTCTGTGGGTCCTTCCACAAATTATAGCCTGACAAGTCTTACTTATCTAAGGATATCTGAACATTCTTAAATCAAGATACATTTACTTGAGATGCAAAATGAAAATGTCGAAGTCTTGTTTTCTGAAAAATTGATCATAATTATGTGAATTCATGCTTATAACATCTGCTTTCATTTTGAATAAATTTGTCAGACAACAAGGCTTTTTAAGCAAATGTATCTTGATTTCTGAATGTTTAGATATTTGTTCTGGAAAGTGATCAGAAGGTACAATAAAAGTTATTAGAAGCTGCATTTAATTGCAATGCAACCAAGCATTTAATTAGTGTGAAGTATAAAAAATACATGAATATACTGTACCAGACATATCCAGATTTAGCTGTTTAGATATGAATATTCAGATTTAACTATTTAAATATTTTTAAAAATATATGTAATATATAATATGTATGCATTTAGCAAAATGCATATAAAAGTTGAATGTAAAATCAGAAATGCATGAATGTAAATGTAAATCATGAATATATTGTTTGTACATATATATTTAAAAAAAATAAAATTTAAAAATGAAAAAAGGAAATGTAGATACATATTTCAAATATAACAAAGATAAATCATACATTTAGCAATAAATCTATATCTATCTATATCTGTACATAAATATTCAGGACTGAATTATTACCCAATTACTTATCAATTCAATGATTAGTATGTTCATAACTTTGTTGCCATAATAGTCGGTATATTTCTGCTTATTGGTGAGGAAAGAAACTGAAACACTGTGGACAAATGAAGTCATCTCATGTTGATTCAAGGGTGTGACTTCATCGTTTGAGCTTTTACTGAATTCCCAGTCTATTTGATTGTTGTCAGGGCGTTCCTTCACATGTGTTTGTCCCACAATGCTTTGCTCACAGGAAACGAACAGCTCTGATTGCTTTAACCCTGTAAACATGACGAGACAAAAATAAGGCAGAAAAAACCTTCATAGCAAGTCTGGAAAAAAAGCGAAACCATTAAAGTGCCAACATTTTGACCTCAGGGTTTATGAATGAGTAGCAGCTCTGGTATTTCCAGCTGACCTTTGACCTCTAACTCTGTTTGTGGCCTTACATGGTTTCTTAGCATGAGTTAACAGTGTTTCCATTCTCACCATGAGTCCTGAGTCATATAAAACCCAAGAGAGTGTCACACACATTCACTGATGTCATACAGACATGTTCTCATAAACACACACACACAGACTGACCTCTTACACATATGTCATGGACAGAAGCAAATGTATACACAAGCTGGTGTTATAAAGCCCCAGAGATCTGACTCCACCTCAAGCAGCTGTGAACACTTACTCCTCCGCTGACTCACAGCGAAAGCCTTTTTTTGTGCTTTATCAAATCTGCATTTCTTTAAAATGAAAGTTAGAATTAGTAGAAAGAAAAGTAAATAGGGTCAGTTTTTTATTTCATATTGACTTCAAGTTGCTTCTTATGGAAACTCGTTTTTGTCACGGAATAAAAAAAGGTAATTGCACATTTTCATCTCACAATTATGACTTTTTTTCTCAAAATTCTAAAAATAAAAAAGTCATAATTGTGAGATAAAAATGAACTCCTACTTCTGACTGACTTTGACAATTTCGAGTTTATATTTCGCAATCTCTGAGTTTGCATCTCGCAGTTGTTATTTTGCTTCCGCCACAAAATAAATTAAATTGTGAATTTTTATATCTGACAATTCTGCTGGTAATATCGCTCAATTCTGCATTTTTACCTCACAATTCTGACTTTATATCAAGAAAAAACTCCAAATTGTGAGGTATAAATGCAGAATTGTGAGATAAAAACTCTCTGACTTTCTTGCAATTCTGAATTTACATCTCATAATTAAGTTTGTATCTTGCAATTCTGACTTTTTTTCACCAAATTTTTTTTCCCACAACAAAATGAAAAATGAAAAAGGTAGATTGTAACTTTTTATCTTACAATTCTGCATTTAAATCTTGCAATTCCAAGTTTGTATCTCGCAATTCTGTTTATATCTCACAGTTCTGCAATTTATATCTCGCAATTCAGAGGGAAAAAAAGTCATAATTACCTTTTTTATTATTTTAAGCTTCCATAGCTTTCCACAAGCTTCCATAGCTTCATAACAGGACAAAATAAACCAGAGTTTCACCTCCGCAACTATATAATTTGTCTGAAAATGCCTTGATGAAAGTTATGAAGTGATGTTGTTAATGCCTTTGTTTCTCCTGTTTATGCAGCTTGATTCAGTGTCCTTTAACGTGTGGGACATTGGCGGCCCAGCCAGCATGTCGACGGTGAACCAGTGTTTCTTCACAGATAAGGCTCTGTATATGGTGATCTGGAATCTGGCTTTGGGAGAGGAAGCAGTGGCCAACCTGCAGTCCTGGCTGCTCAACATCGAGGTCCGGAAACAATATGTAACATAGACGTTATGAAAATCTGAGAGCTTCTGAGCAACTCCTCTAGTCATGGGGTCTCCACCTTATGGGTGCTGATTTTACATATTTAGTATAGATTTCAATAAAATAAAAAAAAAGATGTTTAATTGGTTTAAAGGGAATGGGTCATTCTAGGAAACATACGTGTTTTCCAAATTTGATGTAGATAAATATGGTTAATTATGCTAAACAGCATTTATATATTATTGATCTATTATTTATGGAATAGTTCAATAATAGTTGAATAATTTGGCATTGCAAAGCAGTAACTTTTATTTATTGATTGATTTGATATACTGATTTAGTATTTACTGTATCTGTTATTTATGGAATAGTTTAATTTTAATGAACTGCATTGTCATTGCAAAGTAAATCAATAAACTTTCTTTCTAAAATAGTTGAATGATAATTAGCATTTGCCATTGAGTTTATTGAATAATGATAATAAATGATATTTTGCAATTAATACCATATAGTTTGCAATAACAAAATCTCTATTTATTTATTTAAATTTACAGAGTAGTTCATTACCATTTACAAGCTTTTTTAATGCTTTGTCAACTAAAATCTAAATATAGCATGTATAAAGATAAAAAGACAAAGACAAAATGCTGTTCATATATTTTCAAACATATTTAAAATATGCATACAGTTTTTGCTTACACAGCAAAGGCTAGTTGGAAATGCAGGCATAGGCAAAAAATAAATATCCTTAATAACTAAAGGGGAAAAATAATCTATAGAGACACTATATATACAAACACAAAATGCTATTTTTATAAACAAAACAAAAAAAATGGCTCAAGCTTCTCATTAAGCCCTGTTTTGATGGACACACATGGCTCTTGTTTTATAGAACGACCTGTGTAATGATTGTGTGAACGTGTTTGTGCTCAAGGCTCGCGCTCCTAACTCTGCTGTCATCGTCATCGGGACACATCTGGACCTCATAGACACTAAGTTTCGCATGGAGCGTGTCGCCACACTGAGGGCCTACATCCTGGCACTTTGCAGAACGCCCTCGGGCGCGCGGGCCAGTGGATACCCCGACATCACCTTGAAACACCTACAGTTAGTGTCATTATCATAACTTCAGCTACACTGTAAAAAAAAAAATTATAATTCCGTAAAATTTACGGTAAAAAAAACGGCAGCTGTGGTTGCCAAAATTTTACCGTAAAAAATACGGTAGCACCATTTTAGGTTTTATGGTTTTAACTTAAATTTACATTTAAATACCATAATTTCATTAACTGATATAATGTTAATATAGCAGCTGTGGTTGCCGGAATTTTACCGTAAAAAATACGGTAGCAACGTTTTAGGTTTTACGGTTTTAACTTAAATTTACATTTAAATACCATAATTTCATTAACTGATATAATGTTAATATACCAACCTATTGAACTATTTAAATCTGTTTTGTACCTTTGTAATACACTGATAACCACCAAATGCAGGTGGTGATGAGAAGGTCACATGATGAACCAAAACACATCACAAGCAGCATTTAAATATTAACATATATAGAAGGTGCACAGTGTCATTCATACAAACACTAAACACTATCATGGTAACACACATGATACTGAAATAATGCAATAGGGTCAATATCACCATAGTGCGCCTTTCAACCCTCACAATACTCACATATTTTGGTCTTAATTTCCCATTCGCTTTATGTCATGTCATAAATAATAGACACTTAAGTACTATAGAAACATATTAGCTGAGCTCCCACACATTTTTTAAAGATAATTATGGGCCATTATTCGAAGCATAAACCATAAGATATGTCCTCTCTGTCATGGACATATTACTGTTAAATATGTTTTCATTGCAATATTAAGATGCAAATTATATTTTCTGAAAGGTATGATGTCCCTTTGCTAAACAGGGTTATTTGTTTGATTTAAAATTATAAATGCATAAAAGATTGTATGTATTAACACTATATTCATTGCATACATATACTTCGTAGTAGACATCCTTAACTCCTTTCTGCTGTCTGTTGTTCTGTTGTTGGTGTTTCTTTGTTTGAATATGGCGCTTATCACATGCTGTGTGGTATCGGTGTTTGGTATCGGGGCATTTTAACGAGTATGAGTACAGAAGACCAGTATCGGGCCTGATACCGATACCAGTATCGGTATCGGTGCATCCCTAATGTAAACCATGTGTTTTTAAAGAAACTCACACAATTCGCACATTAATTTTTTCTTATTTCGAGAAAACTATGATATTTGGATGCAGTTTATTGTTTGCATGTTATTGTTATGTTTGCATGTTTATTGTTAGCAGTTTATTGTTTGCAAATGTGAAATGTAACACAGGGAATTCTGGGAATGTCAGTTTTACGGTTATTCACTGTAAATTATACATTCTTTTTCACTTCCAAAAACGGTATACTACCGGAAAATTACATGTAATGTCCAATACAGTTTTTCACCGTATATAGTAGGGGAATTTACCG